ACCCTGCTTGTGGCCTGGGAAAACAGTTGAGGATGGCCCAAAACCTTGGGACCCTGCACCCACGTGGGAGACCAGGAAGAGGCTTCTGGCTCCTGGCTTAAAGATAGGCACAGCTCTGGGTTTTGCAGTTGCTTGGGGAGTGAATTATTGGACAGAAGATCTTCCCTTCTGTCTATCCTCCTCTCTGTATCTCTGACTTTCCAATAAAAATAAGTCTTTTAAAAAAAATCATGTCAGAGGTTGGGACGGTGTTATAGCAGGCTCAGCCTCTACCTGTGCTACTGGCATCTCATGGGCACCAGTTCATGTCCAGCTACTCCACTCCCATCCAGCTCCCTGTTTGTAGTCTGGGAAAGCAGCAGAGAATGGCCCAAGACCATGGGACCTTGCACCCACTGGGAGACACAGAAACAGCTTTTATGTCCTGGCTTCAGACCAGCTCAGCTCCCGCCATTGAAACCATTTAGAAAATGACCAAGACATGAAAGATCTCTCCTGTGTTTCTTCTCTCTGTAACTCTGCCTTCCCAATAAAAGTGAATAGTTTGTCAAAAAAGAATCATTGTTGTTTTGAAATATGGCCAGTGTTTTAACATTAATTTTCAATATTTATAAACCTGTAGTTCATAATCTTGTACTTTTAAATAGTAATTACTTTGTGATAACCTGCAAAATTCACTGCCCCTAAAAGGTCTTTCAAGTGTCTGAACTCTTAAAATGTAGAAAAGTTGTCCATCTACAGGTGATAATTTTAGCTTAGTCATTTACTTGGGTAAATCTCTGGCTTCATATCCAAAACACTCTTCAGCAATATGACTTCTCAATTTCCAAATATGGCTTTCTAAATTTCTCCTATGGATACTGTTCTATTTTTCCCTCCAGGGGAAGATAACTTCTGGGCTTTGAAGCAGTCATGTCTGTAGAAACTGAGTACCCAATGAGATGAGCCAACGGTAGTCTCTGGAAACGTTACCTTCTTTCTGGGTGATAACAAATAGCACTTTCTAAGTCGCACTGACTACTAGTCTGCTTCAACATTTATTTCATAGTCAAATGTACCTACAAAAAAAGTAAGAAAAAAAGCAATAAATGTACCTAAAGATAGTAATCTGACCACAAAGCGACATGATATCCTGAACTCAACAAAATACAGGGTCAGTACCATGGTCCAGTAGGCTAAATCTCCATCTGGGGCTCCAGGATCCTTTAAGGGTGTTGGTTTCTTTCCTACCTGTTCCGCTTCCCATCCAGCCCCCTGTTTATGACCTGGGAAAGCAGAGGAGGACAGCCCAAAGCTTGAGCCCCTGCACCAGCATGGGAGACCTGGAAGAAGCTCCTGGTTCCTGACTTCAAATCAACTTAGCTCTGGCCATAGAAGCCACCTGTGTAGTTAATCAGTGGGTAAAAGAACTCTCTCTCCATCTCTCTCTGTCTCTTTCTTTGTCTCTCCTCTCTATTACTCTACCTTTCAAACAAAAACAAAATAAATCTTTTTAAATATATATACGCATTCTGCATAGCACTATTTCACAGCGAATCCATGTTGATTTGAGTTACCTTGTGAATGACAGCTATGCTTCCAGGAACTTATAGAACTAAGTGATTCTACAATGATAATGGTGACTTCATTCACCTTGTGTCACGTACTTAGATGTCACACTTTGATCAAAGTACCTCCACAAAAAATTTAGTAATACTACCTAAATAAAAAGCTTCAGATTCCCTATGATTTGTAGAAACAATTTCCTTGCAAACTTTTAACTCCACAAAAGGGATATGAGAAATTTCTACATTTTCATATGCAAGATTTCTCTTGAGATGGCTACCTTTTTTATTTCTAAAGTATCTAAATTCTAGAAGCAAGGGAAATCTGTGGATCTGTCCCTCAGATTTAACAAATGTTAACATTTTGCTATTATTTCTGATATTTTTTAAATCATCTATTTATTTGAAAGGCAGAGAGCCATAGAGTGTTTCACTCCCCAAATGAAAATGACAGCAACAGCTGGGGCTAGGTCAAGCTGAAATTGGGAGCCTGGAACTCCATCCAGGTCTCCCACATGGGTGCAGGGGCCCAAAGACTTGTGCTGTCCTCCATCTTCTGCTTTCCCATGGAGCTGGATCACAAGTGGGACCGGAAGGGACAGCATTGCAGGTGGTGGTTTAAACTGTTGTGCTGCAGTGCTGATCCCATCTGATTTTTTTTTTCCAAACTATACACTGGCAGACACATTAGCAGGTCCACTCCTCTTTCAGGTTCTGAATCTGACCCATGGTGCTGCCATGCAAAATAAGTTCATAAACAGATGTGCAGTTTTGCCTTTTATACTATTTCAACTCTTGTTTTTCTTTATGCCTTGCAGGGAGATGTGAAGAGTACACTTTTCCCAACAATAAATTTTGAACTAAAACTTTGGCTTTTAGTTGCTACGTCTCTTCTTTTCTCCTGAGTCATGAGTAAGATTTCAGCATTCAAGGTCTGGTTATGCATAAATGAATGCTGGGAAGCGACTTCTGCCAAAATGGCGTAGCTCTGAGCTCCTAGCTGAAACTGCTTCCTCAGGATTCTTTTCAAGATGAAGTTTCTCCGAAGCTGCCTGCTCTGAGTGTAGAGTTCCATGAGCGCTAACATGCTGGGAGAAATATGCGTATACTTCATCACGTTCCCAAAATACACCCAGGGACCACAGCTCTGCAAAACAAGAGCCCTTCCCAACAAGTCTTGGAGTTCATGTTCCACTCCCTGGTTCTGTGCACTCTGACTAAACATGGCTTCTGTTTCAACACGTAAAACCCCAGTAAAAGCTCTGCCAGCACAGGCTTCTGAGGGATGGGAGAAAGGATATGCCACTGAGGAACTGCTGAGTGGACATGAAGCCAAGAAACTGAGCGCCAACAACTGACTCAGCACGTTAACTGGGTGGTTTGCTTACATGAGCATGACTACAGAAGGCTCAAACTAGGTTACAAACTACGAAGTGACTCACAAGCTAGCACTCCACTTAGCCAACACTTGTAGGTTTAAAAAAAAGCCTCTGCTTCACTCAATTTTTTTTAAAGTTGTATTTCTAAAGAAAACACCAAGGGAAAATAATTGCTAACATTCATTTTGCTTTTAAAATTAACCTATCACGGCACAGGTTTAAAGGAATAATTCAAAAGGATTAAATTGATTATATTACCTATTTCTATTTTTACATGGGCTCTAGAAATATCAAACTAGAATTGAATGTTCAGAAATCTAGAAGAGAAAAATTCCATCTGTAGGTTCCCTTTCTAAATGGCCACAGTGGCTGGACCTAGTTCAGGCCAAAGCCAGGAGCCTGGAACTCCATCCCGATTGTCCATGTGCCTGGTCGATCATCTTCCACTGTCGATCACCTTCCTAGCAGGGACCTGCATCAGAAGCAGAGCAGCAGGTAGAAGCATAACTCAATGAGCACAAACACAGCCAACTCCACTACAGTGTCTTTAAAAGGCACAACCAAATCATTAACTACCGCCAGACACCTTCTATGCTTCCTTATGACCCCATATGATAGGTTTTCTGTTACAAGTGATGTGCCTCAAAAGTGGTGGGCAGGAATGGTGCGTTGAACCTGTTGGAACCTTGACCTGCAGCTCCCGGCCTCTAGCAGCCTGGGCTTGCTTGCTGCACTAGGAGCAGGCCTGGGTCTCAGGTTAAAGACCTCACACTGAATCCCACACCTCCGCCAGTGTGTTACCTCACGAGGCTTCTTTCTTTCTTTCTTTCTTTCTTTCTTAAAGATTTATTTTTCTTTTTATTGCAAAGTCAGATATACAGAGAGGAGGAGAGACAGAGAAGGAGATCTTCCGTCTGATGATTCACTCCCCCAAGTGACCACAACAACTGGAGCTGAGCTGGTCTGAGGCAAGGAGCCAGGAGCCTCTTATGGGTCTCCCACATAGGTGCAGGGTCCCAAGGCTTTGGACCATGCTCTACTGCTTTCCAGGCAACAGTCAGGGAGCTGGATGGGAAGTGGAACAGCTGGGACACGAATCAGCAGCCACGTGGATTTCCGATGCATGCAAGGGGACAATTTTAGCAACTAGGCCATTGTACCAGGCCCAAGATGTTTTCTTTCTTAAAATGTCAGGATTCTCTGGCACCAACTTTGTGTCATATCAGGTTACGTCACAACCTGGGACACCTACCATTCATTTGGGTGCCAGTCTGTGTCCCAGCTGCTCCACTTCCCATCCAACTCTCTGCTAATGTGCCTTGGATAGCAGAGGAAGATGGCTCAAGTGCTTGGATCCCTAACCCCAGGTGGAAGAGTGGGAAGAAGCTTCTGACTTCTGGCTTTGGCCTGGCATAGCCAGGGTTGTTGAACCAACTGAGGGAGTGGACCAGCAGCTGGAAGATATCTGTCTCCCCCTCTCCATGAGTAAATAGGCATTTCAAATAAAATAAATACAATTCCAGGATTCTCTTTACCTTCTGGGGTTGTGAGGCTTCTCTGCAAGCACAAGGAAAAACGGACTTCAGGACTTGTTACACAGTCTTATCAAACATAAGGTGTAAGATCTTGCATGAATAGCTGTGTTCTTTGAGCTTCCTCAGTAGATAGTGACCGACGATCACAGCATGGCATGTAGTCGTCGGGGACACAAAATGAGCCGATGCCTGTCAGCCCTATGACACATTCGAGCATTGTGTCCGGAACACAGAACCTGATCCACACTGCTGGTTGTAACTCATCCCACACTTCATTTCCGGTTTTCTGGCTCATGTGAAATTTTAGAATGGCCCAGAAGAGAGAGGAAAAAGAAACACTCAGAAGCCAGAGAAGTGGCTAAGCTAAAACGTCTGCTTTTAATTCGTGTTCCGCCGAGCCCCACTTCAGAGGCCCAACCAAGCCCGGGCGCAGCTCTGCGATTTGTCCCGGCAGGTGGCCCAGCCCGGCGCCCGACACCGCGCGCGGCCGCCAGAGGGCGCTCGGCCCGGCGCGCGCTCCGCGGAGAAGAGGCGCGCGAGCGGGAGGTGGAGCCGGGCCGGCAAGATGGCGCCGTCCGCTCTGCTGCGGCCTCTCTCTCGGCTCCTGACCCCGGCCAGGCTCCCTGGCGGCTGTGAGTGTCCCAACTCGTGCAGACCGACTCGGCCCTCAGCCTTCCACTCCCAGGGCGTACCCGGGTCGGCGAGAGCTGCAGGCGGCAGCAGCCCGGGCAGCTCCTGCCGTGACCTTGGCCGACCGGCAGCTTGGACCCCACGGCTCCCCTTACCCCGGGCCCTGGGGTCCCCATCACTCGCTACCCTCTGGTTCCCACTTGTTCTCCGCGAAGGAACCTTTGGCCCTTCGTCCTCCAGGTTCTGTCCCCATGGGCCCTTCTCTGCGCCCATTCCCCGGTGGTCCGAGGGGGCGTCCTGCACCCCGGACCCCGAGGTGGCTTGGCCCGTGGCCTTAGGGGAGCCACCCACCTGTCACAATTTCTGTTTGATTGTTGAAAGGCGGAGGGAGGAAAAGATTAGATGCCGCCACATGGGTAAATGTGAGCACAGGGCAGTGCTTTTCTGATTGAAAAATCTTAATTTCCTTTTCAGCTTCAGCGAGGTCCAAGTTCTACGTGCGGGAACCGCCGAATGACAAGCCTGACTGGCTCAAAGTGGGGTTGACCTTGGGCACCAGCGCGTTCCTGTGGATCTATGTAAGACGGTGATACCCACGCATCTGGGCAGGGAGGGGAAGGGCAGGGAGGGGAGGGTGAATGTTCCAGTGTGTCGGTGGTCACGTAACCGCTCATGTGTTTCTCTCTGTGAGGGAAAAGTGCAAGGAGGCCGACATTTCTGTTCATCCTTCGTTACTCATAATGGTTTTGTGAGGAATGGCAGGTGTACTCAACAGTGCAGTATGCGTTATTTCCTAATGCCCTTGGGACGAACCCGTAGTGACTACAGCATAAGGATAAAGTCCCCAGTGGACTTGAAAAACATGAGCCATTGGGGACGGGAGGAGAAAGTAAATGCTCCATTGTTTTACAAGGGATAGAAGTAGCCATCAGAGGACCCCCCCCCCCCAAAAGTGCATAAATGTCCCAAATTGCTAGAACGAAAAAAAATGCAACCCAAATAGCCACAAAATAAAGTGTTAGAAAAAATATAACCAGAAGGGTGGGCCTTGTGTAGTAGATTGAACCACTGCTTTGTCAGAATTCCCGGATTGAGTCCCTCCTCCCTGCTGGTCTGCCTGGAAGAAGGCAGATGATAGCCCCGTTACTTGCAACACTGCCACCATGGGTAAGACCTGGATTGAGTTCCTGGCACCTGGCTTTAGCTTGGTACAGCCCTGACTCATGTGGTTATTTGGAGGGTGAAACAGCCAATGGAAGAGCCGTATATATGTATATATTTGAGAGACAGTGAGATAGGGCAGAGCTGGTACTTAGGAATTCACTAACACTGGGAGCCAAGAATTCAGGCCAGCTTTGCTTCCTGTGTGTTGGAAACCCAGCACTTGAGGCATCACAGATGCCTCCCAGGGTCTCTCCTAGCAGGAAGCTGGAATCAGGACCCATGGCCAGGACTTAAACCCAGGCACTGTGGTCTGAGATGAAGTGTCCCCTAAACCAAATGCCTGCCCCTGTCGCTAACTTGACAAATTCTCATTTCATTTTCTTTTTAAGATATATTTTATTGCAAAGTCAGATATACATAGAGGAGGAGACAGAGAGGAAGATCTTCCGTCCGATGATTCACTCCCCAAGTGACCTCAACAGCCAGAGCTGAGCTAATCTAAAGCCAGGAGCCAGGGGCCTCGTCTGGGTCTCCCACTCGGATGCAGGGTCTTGCCAAGACTCTGGGCCGTCCTCCACTGCTCTCCCAGGCCACAAGCAGGGAGCTGGATGGGAAGCGGGGCTGCCAGGGTTAGAACCAGCGCACATATGGGATCTCGGCACATGCAAGACAAGGACTTTAGCTACTAGGCTATGATGCCAAGCTATCATGCCAGGCACTCATTTCATATCATTTCAACAGTGCTAGTGTTATATGCTATTAACCCATTGTGGATGAATTGCCCAACCAAGTACTCCTTGACTTCAGAGACCGTATAGTACTTTAGATGCCTGTGAAACACTGGAGGTAAAATTACTTTTTTTCCCATTGTTTTCCCAGCACATTAGCAGGGAGCTGGATGAGATGTGGAATAGCTGGAACTAGAACCAGCCCCAAAGGGATACCGGCAGTATAGGTGGCAGCTTAATCTGATATACCGCAACTCTTGTCCCCATGCATTCTTAATTTATTTAACCTTTTTCCTGAGAAAGAAGGTTGATTACTTCTGAGAACACTGAGTATTCAAATTGATGGTTGATTGCCATGAATGTCATCGTGTGTTATTGGCATATATTCTGGTTGTGTGTTCTGTCAGCCAGTGGTTGTAAGGCAGTGACCATCTCCCAGGACGTGCATACTGTACTTGGGAGACACAGAGGGCTGCTCACGCCCAGCCACGCTTTTAGATCACAGGTGTGACACTGACCCGCCAGCCTGTGCAGTGGGTGATTCTACGGCAGAAGTTGAGTTTAGCTTCTAAGGGTTGCGTTCTCAAGCTTACCGTGTCAGGTTGTGTTTAGCAGTGTATTCTGCTCATGCTTTTGGACTATGATCTCTCTCAGCCTTTTCTTTCCAGCTAGAATAATTCTAAGTATTCTAATCTATCCTTATTCCTCATATAAAATATAACTTACTGGGAAGCTACTGTGCTAATTTGAATTGTAAACTATTTGTAGCTCTTCCAGCAACATAATGAAGATGTTATGGAGTATAAAAGAAGAAATGGATTGGAGTAAAAGTTTGAAATGCCAGTAATACAGTAAGTATAAAACTTTGTGTATAGAATGTGCAAGTTTTTACTCATTTTTGAAGAGGTTTTGTTGTTGTTGTTGTTGGAATGGCAAAATTAACAGGGAAAGAAGGAGAGACTGCTGATCTTCCATCTGCTGGTGCATTGCCCAGATGGCTTCAAGCCAGGCCTGTACCAGGCTGAAGCCTAGTTTTTGTGGATCTCCCACGTGGGTGGCAGTGGCCCTAGCACTTGAGCCATCATCCACTGCATTCCCAGGAACGTTAGCAGAAATCTGGTCCGACACTGGAGCAGCCGGGTCTCACTGGCACTCATGGGCTTCCAGTGTCGCAGGCAGAGGCTTAACCTGCTCTACCTCAGCACTGGCTCCTACCTATTTTTAAATACTGTATTTTTTTTTTGTTGTTTGTTTGGTTTTTTTTAAAATTATGTGTATACTGTCTAACACTCTTATTCCTGTCTGAGACAAATTCATTAATTATTTTTCAAGATTTTTTTTCTGCCTGAAATGCAAAAAGAAAAGCTGGGCTCTTCCATCCATTTGTTCTGAAGCCAAGAGCCTGGAACCTGGAACCTGGAACTCCGGTCAGGTCTCCCACCTCTGCCTTCTTAGGCACACTGGCAGGGACCTGGATCAGAAGAGGAGCAGGGGCCCTCCTGGGCCCACCTGGCCCTGGCCATTGCGGCCAGGTGAAGAATAAACTGTTACGTCTCCTTCTCCCTTTCTCTGTAAATCTGCCTTTCAAGTGAAGTATTTTTTTTTTCAATCTCAGCATTTAAAAATTAGGTTGATTAAAGTAGGTTGTTTATATCTGCTGGATCATAAACATTGTGACACAAAATACAGTTGTTTTTATTTACCATATTTAATGAATCTAAGACTCAAATTTGGCTCTTTCTATAGTTAATCATCCAAATCCTTTGCTGCTCTTTTCTTGCTATTGATACCACCTTGCCCATTGTACTACTGTGATCATTGGTCAGGAGATAAAACTGAAATAAGCATTTCAATCAAAACCAGATGACTTGTACTGCTCTTCTAGAACTCATTGTTTTTGTTAAAATTTAGATAAAATATTGATGTTTTTGTGGATTTGTTTCTAGACGTTCCCTTTTTCACTAACGTAACTTCAGGGTAGTATAATGTGATTTCTGTTGGTTAATGTTGTTTTGCTTGGCTTTTTTTTTCTCTATTACAGGTGTATGCATATGATGGTTAACACTTCCTCTGGATTATTCCATTGAATTGTAAATGTAAGAGAAAGAATTATACATGAATAAATGTCAAATCTGCATTTGCATTTTGTACTATGAAATGAAAACAAAACTTGTGTGTTCTCAGATAATGCATGTTGTAGCAGCTAGTGGAAGGTGACGGTGCTGAGGAGCGTTGTCCCCGTGCTTCCGTTGGAAGGCCGTTGTTACCAGGGCTGGGGGTGATTAAAGACACACTCACAGGAAAACATTACAGAAACACATTTTTAAAAATCACTACTCAAGAATTTCTCCTTCCCTAAACTTTTAGTTTCTGGTTATAAGATATCTCCTCACTGTATCAAAGAGACAGAACTGATTTATTGCTCAGAATACCAGAAGATCTAAATGTTGTTTGCTACAAGAGGAGCCATTTTGTTAGGAATGGAAAGCTGTTGTTTAATACACACCGTGTTGTTAATACGCACGGTTACAATATAGATCATGTGTCTCTCATCAGAACTCTGTCTTGGGCACTAATTACACAGTTGCATGCTACTCATTCATTTTCAGTTTAAACTCTTACATTTAAAATGTAGCTTACATTTTAAAATTGCTTTTGGTGTCTCTGTTCGTAATTTAGGTGGAAAAACGCATTGCTTGTAGTTGATTTGTATGTGTGTGTTGGAATGTGGCCAATATCTGCTTCTGGATAGTCTTTCCAAAAAAATTAGCCTAAGTTGCATTGAAGACATGTATTAAGACCAATAACTATTAAGTTTAAAAAATGGATTAATTGATTTGAAAGGTGAAGTGATGGGGTCAGCTCTGTGGCTCAACTGGCTAAACCTCTACCTCCAAATGTTGGTTCTGTCCTGGCGGCCCTGCTTTCCATCCAGCGTCCTGCTTGTGGCCTGGTAAAGCCAAAGAGGATGCCTCGGGTCCTGCACCCATGTGGAAGATTTAACAAGAAGCCCCTGGCTTTGGATTGGCTCAGTTCCAGCTGTTGTGGCCACTTAGAGAGTGAACCAGCAGGTGTAAGATCTTTGTCTCCTCTTTTCTGTAAATCTGCCTTTCCAATGAAAATAAATAAATCTTAAAAAAAACCAAAAAACAGAAACCAACAAGATAGAATGGTACGGAGAGAAATGTTCCATCCACTCAATTGACCCCCAAATAGCTGCAATAGCTAGGCCTGAGCAGAGCCAAACCCCAGGAGCCTGGAACCCAATCCCTGTCTCTATGGGTGGCAGGGACCCCCGGCATCATCAGCGCCAACATTAGCAAGAGGCAGAATTGGAAACCAGCACTTGCATCCTATAGGGAATGCTGACATCACAAGCTTTTCCACAACTCCAACCCCATAACTATTAACTTCTGGTAGTTTATCTGTTATACTTGAAAATAGCCTTGAAGATCATGTAGACAGATTTCTTAATTTTAGAAATGCAAAATCCAGAGGTGAACAATGATTTGACCATCACTGTTGCAAATAGAAGAAGGAATCACTGAAGGCTGAGTCCTAGTCTGTAGGACATTCCTATGTACTGGTTTATCTGAAAAGGAAAGTTGCGGTGCAGGTACAATTAAGCTTACTGGCCAGCTGGCATTGAGATGGGGAGACCCTCCTGGGTTATCCAATGCAGCCAAATGCAAATGCAAGGGTTCTTATCGGTAGAAGGAGGTGGTACAAGAGTGTGTCAGAGGGGCTGGCACCTTGGTATAGTAGGCTAAGCCTCCACCTATGGTGCCAGCGTCACATATGGGCATTGATTCATGTCCCTGCTGCTTCACTTCTGATCCAGATAGCTGTTTGAGGTCTTGGAAAATCAGGAGATGGCTCAAATCCTTGCTCCATCTCCCCACACCCATGTGAGAGACCTGGAAGACACTTCTGGCCTTGAATCAGCTCTGCTCCAGCTGTTGCAGACATTTTGGGAGTGAATTAGTTGATAGAATATCCCTCTTCTTGCTGTCAATCAGCCTTTCAAATAAACGTAATAACGCATCTTTTTTTTTTAAAGATTTATTTATTTTTATTGGAAAGGCAGATATACAGAGAGGAGAGACAGAGAGGAAGATCTTCTGTCCGATGATTCACTCCCCAAGTGAGCACAATGGTCAATGCTATGCCGATCTGAAGCCAGGAGCCTCCTCCGGGTCTCCCACGCGTGTGCAGGGTCCCAAAGCTTTGGGCCATCCTCGACTGCTTTCCCAGGCCACAAGCAGGGAGCTGGATGGGAAGAGGGGCTGCCGGGATTAGAACCGGCGCCCATATGGGATCCCGGGCGTGCAAGGTGAGGACCTTAACCACTGCGCCACCACGCCGGGCCCAACGCATCTTTTTAAAAACAAAAAATTGAAAGTTTTTAAAAGCGTGTCAGAGTGATAAAAGTGTGAGATTCAGTCTTGTCATTTCTGCTGTTGATGTGAATGCCAAGAGACATAGAATGTCCAGAAAGCATCTTCTCTGCTGGAGTGCAGAGAGGAACACAGCATTGCTGACACCTTGACTTTTGCACAGTGTGTTAAAACTACTAAGATTGGTGCAGCAGCAATGGCAAACTGACACCATCACATAGTAACCAAGAGCAAGCACGCCTGCTTCAAGGCCCTTTCCTTCCTGTTGAAAGATTTCTCAGGCCCGGCAGGATGGCGCAGTGGTTAACGTCCTCGCCTTGCATGCCCGGGATCCCATATGGGCACCAGATTTTTTTTGTTTTGTTTTTTGTTTTTTAGACATTCCTTTGGGCAGTGTTTCAAGTGTTTTTTTTTTTTTTAATTTTTGACAATCTTTACATAGTTAATTAGGGTTAAAAGGTTCAAGGGCTACAGGAAAGTGGGCAAGACCATCATTTCCACATTGTTTTCTTCATGTTTAAAGGGGGGTATTAAGGGAGAAGGCCTACACAATCTCCCACCCTCCCCAGGTCCCGGATGTAGGGTATGCTCCGAGGTTCTTGCTCAAGTGGTTTTAATAGTTCACCAGTTATGAATTGCTGCCAATCTCGCCACTCCAAGCACGATGAGGTCGCTGAAGAATCCACTGATTGACATAGTCCATCATAGAGTCTCCATTTGCCCTGTATTTCACTGCCAACATATAGCTGAGATGGTTGATTGCCCTCTTCTGTCTTCTGTCTTTTCTTGGTTAGGGTTCTGAGTCTGGCAGTTTGATTGGAGAGATCTCCAAAGAAATTTTGTCTGAGGTGTTCTCAGACCAGATTCTTACATGTGCTAGCAAGTACAGAGCCCGGCACAGACCATGGCCCTGATCAGCTGATGGTTGCGATTGCTGGGTTGGTTTTCAGCCCGACTTCCACTGGAACCATTGGGTGTTGCAGTCCAGCCTTGGGCGCCAGTTCTAATACCAACAACCCTGCTTCCCATCCAGCTCCCTGCTTGTGGCCTAGGAGAACAGTGGAGGACAGCCCAAAACCTTGGGATCCTGTACCTGCGTGGGAGACCAGGAAGAGATCCTGGTTCCTGGCTTTGGATTGGCTCAGCTCTGACCATTGTCACTTGGGGAGTGAATTGATGGATGGAAGGTCTTCCTCTCTCTCCTCCTCTGTATATCTGACTCTCCAATATAAATAAATGAATCTTTAAGAACAAATGCTTGAGCTGATACAAAACCTGGAGCCAGTAGCTTCATCCAGGTTTCCCCTATGGGTATGGGGCTGTCCTACACTGCTTCCCCAGGCCACAAGCAGGGAACTGGATGGGAAGTAGAATAGCTACCAGAACTTGTGCCTATTTGGGATGATAGTGCCTGTAGGTGGAGGATTATCCTGTTAAGCCACAGCACCAGTTCAGGGCCCTTTCAATGAAAGAAACACTTCACAGCTCACATCTCTAAAAGAAACAGAAAACTTTAAGAATCTTGAAGTTCTAGAAACTGATAGTCTTAGCTAGAGATCTAGCACAACTTTGATAATCAGTACCCGCTCTGACTTTATACTTTGAGGGAACAGCCACCCTCATATCACCCTTCCTGTTGTGGGCTAAGGACTGATTAGCACTCGTTAAGCTGAGCACTACAGGGAGTGGGATTGGGGCTAAAAGCACCTGGTCTAATTGGACTCATCTGTACCCAATAGTCTGCTAATGAGGGTGTGGGGGAAAGAGTATACAAGGAGAGGTGAAAGGGCAATAGAGACTTCGACCATCACTGGTCTCCTGCTGGTGCTTCATCCCCAGGCCCTCACCGTGTCCACATTACTGGCTCTGCTGGCCGGAACAAATGGCGCCTAATGTGGGGCATGGCACGAGGGACATTTGAGGGACCCCTAGACCTATGAAGGTAAGTTTAGAATTTAGAAATTTTGTAGGGGCATAACTGATTTCATCCCCAGAGCCTCTCCCTGTCCTAGGGCACGAGGGACAATCTGAGGGACCCCTGGAACTCTGGAGGAGCATAATTAATTTCATCCCCATACCTTTTCCCCATCCTGGGGCATGAGGGACAATCTGAGGGACCCCGGAAATCCAGAGGTAAGTTTAAACATTTTTGCAGGGGCGTAAGTAAAATTTATCATGGAGCAAGAACTCGTTAAAGTGCAAGTGATTAAAAGAATCAGATCTGCTCTAGTCACAAGGCACCGACACTAAGCTTAAGGCCTCGCAGAGTTTCTTTGAAACTGTCTGCAACATGTTCCCATGGTTTGCTCTCATTGAAATCACCTTTTTTCTCTGGCACTTGGCAAAAGTGCTTTGCCATCCCCTCAAGCAGTGGTGCAACCCCGCTGTAAAAAAATTGTCCATTAGAAGGACGAGAGAGCTGCAAACCAGGGTAAAAAAGAAGGAACCCCAAAGCAGACAATGTCTGGAGAAAGTGCGCGAAGAAGATTCGCGGTCCTCTTCCGAGGAGGATGAAGAGGAAAGGGATGGAAGAGAGTTTGTCGAGGATCCTCCACCTGTAGAGTGTGTGCCAAGCAAAAATCTCTCAGACAGAGCCTTCTGCACTGCCTGAGCCATTGGCGCCATCATATCTGGGCACAGTTGTGAAAGATTTACAGGAGCAACTTCAGTGCCTCTTCCTTCAGTGGATGTACTGTTGGGGCTTGCACTGGCCCCCTGCTTTCAACTTCCCTTTCAG